ATAGAAGTAGCTAGTATTATAGCAACTAAGTTGTAGTCTATTTAGCAGAGTAAAAAGTGTAGTGGAACAATTGGTGATAAAATTATGTATAATGATCCTGAAGAAAACAGCCGGTTAACAGAGCTAGTTATGCTAAATTTTCATGATCGATTTTCATACGGTACACATTAGACATTGCAAAGTAACCCTTCAAGTTATATAATTTTAAAAATACTGCGAAATATTACAAAGATTATACCTTTTAGAAAAGTATATGATTTATGTATAGGTACAACTTTAATGTCCTTACAAAGGGCAGGAAAAAGATTTGTTAAATAGATCAGTGAGAGGGTGACACAGAATATCAGAACACTTAAAAATATTACTAGTTGCATAATCTGGACCTAAGCTCTGGGAAGGGTTCAGAGACTTGAGGCACTTTTGGACATCATTTGTGTTAAAACCTGGAAGGGGGCTATTATTAACACTAGTGATGCTGGGAAGCATGGTATTTGAGGGAGAGTAAATAAAAGATTTATTAAGAGTACATACATCAAAAGAAAACGGAATATTGTTTATCTACTTACCTCCAGTGATTTCCTTAAGTAGTTTCCACATATTAGAAGCATTTTTGCAGGACATGAATTTCTGGTTATATTACATTCAACCTCTTCATTTCAGACTTGATTAAGAAGTTAGTTCTTTTTACACCACTTTTATTTTCATTTTATATAGTTTTTCCTTCCCTCTACGAAGCTTTTTAACTTGAGGGGAGGAGAAACGGTCAAATTTGACGAATAGTGTTTATTTTGGATAGCAGATTTCAAAACAGAATTTCAGATAAGATGTAATATTAGAAATAGTATCATTAAGTGAATCATCATTAAACAGATCCCATCTTGTGTCACTGAGCATATTTCTAAGATGATGTACGTTCTCATTTGAGTAACATCTGTGAACAACTTTCTTGGACAAGTTTGAGAAGGTTTTATTGTGTAACTTTCCGTAAATTTTGGGTAAAACTCGTACAATACAGTGATCGGAATTGAGGAACGGGGCTCCTTTACGAGCTTCGTATATTCCAGAATCATTTATAAATACTAAATCAAGTGAAGTATCTCGTAGAGTTGGGAAGTTAACAACATAAAGGATTATGAACAAATTTCAAGACAAACGCTGAAATATCCTTACTTTTAAGGCTTTCTATAATCAAGATTACTTGCAGATCAACTTCACGCTAATTGAGTTTACTTTAAACGAAATCATTGCAACCAATATGCTAAGAATGTGCCGCAGCCCAATCACAAGAAGCAAACACCACCCTAACTGGTAAGGAAATGAGAATTTCCATCAGTCCGGAAAAAAATTAACGCTTTTTTATTAAAAATTGTTCATAAAATAAATTTACCAAGCAAAATTTCAACGAACGTGACTGATCACCTCAGCCGTGTAGGCGCCATTTTCAGGTAATTCTGAAGGTCATAGGGAGTTGGTTTGGTAATGTTTCTTAGTACTTCACTAGATGTTTCTATGAAAAGAGGGTTGTGATTAGAATGCGTTTACCAATACGCTTGACAAATGCATTTAATTTTGCATATTTAATACGGCTTAGTTGAATTATAGGAGACACTCTGATCAATCGTACCAATGATCTTGGGCGACTAATTACAATTAAGCGTCTAAAAAAGTTGCGAACTTATGCAGACGATGATTATAGGTATTAGGTATCTGACGTAATTGTACGTTTCCGGTTCATTCCCTTGATTTGCCCTGGGATCGTCGTCCTGTTGACAGAGTAGCTATTCTGTCAATTTCCTGTCGCATATTGACGTCATAGGACCTCTTGATAGTCCATCATCCACTCAGTAATCATACACTGATCTCCTAGGAACGTTTGACGGAATTTCATAACGAGAAGCACAATTCGCTCTTGTTTTACACACACTAACTATTCAATTGTCGGTTATTTAGCTGTACGGCTATTATAATATAAAGGTATCTTCAGAGTTGGAAGATAGTAGACCGTCCGAAAGTGGCTCTTGTCAACCTTATATATATATATATTTGTTAAGGTACCTGGCTGATAAAACGGGATGAAAATGCTGTTGTTTTTAAAGATTTCATCTAATTGACTAACAATCACTGTTGATTAATCCACAATCATAAGATTAAAATTAGTGGCTGATGGACATACAGTCACTTCTCTGTTTTCCAATCTATTAAGTGATAATTGCGGTTAGTTAATAAAAACTGAATCTTATCTGTTAACGTCAAGTTTATCCCAGTCGTTTTGCACATTTTACATCTGTAGACTATATCTTTAACATTGGAATTACTTTCTGAGAATTATTTAATATAGTCCGTGACTGATAGTTGCTATTTTAACGAGATGGTTGTACTTGCACATCGCGATGACTGAACGAGCTACACTTCCTGGAACAAATGTTCTTCTGCAGATCATACCATGCATGAAGGGTCTTTAGTATAGCAGTAAGACTGGGAGTAGTTACCAGCTTTGTTGATTCATTGACTGGTTTCAGCGTTTAGCTTTGCACAGATGTCCACTAGTTCGAGTTGCCACACTCCCTCTGTGTACCAGGATGCCCGGCGCTCTTCACCGGGTTGACTGTCCATTGGATGACAGTCTAGGGGAGATGGCTAAACCCTGACTCCAAACCTCCAACGACTGGCGTATGAAGCTCACTGGAGCTCACCTGCAGACGTATGGACAAAGGGCTTGTTGGATGTCCTGGATGTCTGGCCCCATTCAAAAAGGCGTATGAACCGAACTCCGGTCACCGGCTGCCAATGGATAGTGGACTCCCTACTCCACTCCTACTGCCTTGTAGGTCACACTCGGTTGTGTAAAGGCTAGAGCTGCACTCTCAAACAAAAGGCCGAGAGATTCTGGGGACATCACTCGTACCAAATTCCCATGAAACTTCATGAACTCTCTTCAGATCGCCGCGCCTGGGCAGCGATGATTCGAGATGTTCATGAAGCCGGCTCATCCTCCCGTAGGAGATAGCCGAAGTAAAGTAAAAAAAGTAAGTCCGTGTACCACACAAACCAACTGAATACAGTAAACAGAAATTCAAAACAGAGATAATCAACAGAAGTGTGAGTGAGGGAAAAGGAATAATAATGTGAAAGAACAATAGACTTTTATTGGATATTATGAATCACAAAGAGTGATTGCATCTTCACCAGCCATCAATGAGAACGATTTTCAGCGAGCCATATCACCAGTTGTTTCCGTATCATTGCTTCCGAAAATCTCAACGACAACAACAAGACTGGTAGTCTACACCTCCCAATTTGGCTGACTGGTTAACGGTCTAAAACTGTTGTGGATTTCACTGGCTTATGATAAAGCCATGTCTCCTTTTGATCATTACCGACGCCACTACTAGCTAACTCCTCTCCAACCTCATCCATTGACCCATTCTATGTCAGTAAGCTAACATCGCCTCGCCCCGCCCGTCCGTCTGTCGAGTAAGGAAGGTGATGGCCAGACTGGCAAGTAGGCAGGCATGCCTGAGCAACACATGCCCTAACCACCCATCTTAATCCATGTAACAGCTTCACAATCTCGTCGTCAATTGATTCCCCCTCCCTACTTCCTTGCCTAGCAGCTAGCACTCGACCGACAGGTGCTGCACCTCAGTGTTGCTCACTCAGCCTGTCTGTTACACTTACCATCATCACCTACCCAACAACATGAGAGATAGAACGCAGACACCTATGATCAAAGGCAGCCAGCTTGGTAGCTAGCTAGCCTGGCTTTTCACGGCTATGTCTCACAGCCAGTCAGCCATCCATCCATGAAGTAGGGTGAAGCGGAGTTCTGAGCAGTGTACACGCAATTTAGTTGATAGCCAGCCAGTCGAATATCGCGTCTACTAAGCACGCCAGAGATGGCGTAAGTTGAGTTGGCTGAAAAATGCTAAACGTATCCGTATCCGTGTTGAGATTTCGTCAGCCATCAGATCAACCCGCTGGCGTTGGCTGGGCTGATGCAGCTTCCCAAACAAGTGAAGTGGTCAGGTCAACACGCTCAGCCAACAGGCCAGTCAGCCACCACTTCACTCCTGCCTGCCTATCTCTAAGCTGGGAGTAGTCAATATATTTCAGTCTTGTTGAGGGGTGGGGATTCTGAGGGCGTGATTGTACTGCTGGCGAATACGGATGTAACAGAAGTATGGTATTTCCCTAGGTTGGTAAGGAAACCAGCTATATTATAATAAAGGTTTTTGTATTTCCCAATGAATGAAAAACAAAACGATATTGTTTTTACTGACGTTTCGCTATTTAATGCTAATAGCTTTATCAAAGTATTATTAAACCGGAATTTACAAAATCTCAGCATATATATAACAAACAGTTAGGGGGTGGGAAAATAGACATAGGTCAAGTTAAAGGGACATATTGGAAGTTAAAATAACAACGAAGATAACTAAACCAATTAACAAAGGTAATAGTATGTCTGTTATGATATCAAAATAAAGTTTACTAACTTGATCACCAGCTATATTGCCTATGCTCCCTAGGGAGGAGGGAGTTAAGGAAGTTCCATCCCAAAAATTGTACATCCTAACTTATCTTGTGGTGTTCCGTAGCTGGCAACCAGATAATCATACAAATACACCTTAAAATTGCAACTCAGTTAGGCTATGCGTAACGAGTCCTTAAACAGTGTCCTTTGGCTGACGCGGTCACACATAACACTACCTCTCTCCTGTTTCAGAGATACCCCGAGAAATCAATTTCCACGGTATGGCAGGGAGGGGGGGGGCAGGCGAGAAGCGATAACCACCCATATACTTTCCACTAGCAAATATGATATAATCATGCCTGACTTTTCGCTATAACTGAGGGTTTTTTGAAGAGATTGATTAGATTTTGAATACACACACATTCATTTCTACCGCGTTAAAGAAAACTTCCTTAACAATTAATGGTTATTTTTTCCTTTTTCAGGTGTCTAATTCCTTTTACAATTGGTTTGAGTAAAACTTTTGATGTCTCTTGAGCAGAGTATGTTCACTAAAGGTGATGACTGCAGTAAGTTACACTTTATTATTTTTATCTGATCTTCATTAGATAATGATGCAACCAATTCTGATAATGTACCTGCTGTCCACATAGACGATGTACAACGCATGGAAGCTCGTCTTTTAAAGCTGTTAGATGAATTCAATGCCAAAAAGTCTTCATCGTTTGGTAGTGTGGGAAAATTTGTTACACATTTAATACCTATCTATATATAGGTCCCAACTGTCCATATGAAAAGCTTGATTCAATTAGAGAGCAACAAGAAGAGCTTATGCGACTGCATTTTGAACAGGATAAAAAGATGATGTCAATCCTTGAGTCCGGGTCAACACTTGGTCGACGTCCTGTCAGAGCGTAATTCAAAACTTACTGAATATGTATATAGATTCTGTTAGGCTTTTAACCGAGGAGGGTCGAAAAACTACGAAAACAAATGTTGATGCTCTAGTCACACGGGTATGTAACTTTTTTTTAAACCTTCATTAGACTTCCTAATCTTCAGAATGATTACTTTTTGTTATTGATTTTACTTTGCATGTTAGGAAATATTTTTTTGTTTTTGATTTTAATTTAAACACAAAAAAAGGAAACTCGGTACAATATGGCACCAAGCAGATGCGCTACACAAAATTAATAGTAAAACAACATACGAGATAAAAAGTAGAAATATAGGTAGAAAACGGATAAAGTACTTCATCATCTGAAAGGAAAACAACCATATTTAACGAGTTCAAACAGCATTCGTCGAATTACTGTTGGGAAGGGAAGAAAGAGGGAAATTGCAGCACAGCATTCGCCATTGATGATTGCGATTCTTGGCTATATCCTATAACGTTTCAAGCGATCCACCGATTTCAGCCACTATCTATCGGATTCCAACCAGGGAGTGGTGGCGCACCAACCGATGATAACCTAACACAAATATCCTTCATTACACGACACGACGTCATGGGCTGACGATCACCTCTTCGCTTTTTCCATCCAGTCCTAGGGCTGCCCAGCGAACAGAGGTATGTACAAAAGCCTCTGGGATGACATTCCAATTCACCGAAGCCGGTATTTCCACATGACGATGACACTCAATGAATGGTGATCTCTACTGTGTCCAAACACACACTGCCTGACCTCAGAATCACTCACTCGATGGTACCATCGAACGGAAGTAATCCGTACGGAGACAGAGATGGTCGAATGCGCAAAGTTGTCGTACATCCTCGCCCTGTCTGGAGAGGCCAGGTTTCATGGGTGTAGGGTGTATTGTCAATCCTGCCGTTGATAGCCAGGCTAGCGTCGTGACGATTCCAGTACCCAGTGGTTTCCGATGCCAATGTTTAATCCCACTAGACCACTTGGGTCACTAGAACCACCATTTTGGGTGTTGGCGTCTTCAAAACTTTTGTGCTAGTATGTCTAGATTACTTTCTTATTTCTCTTTAGTGTGACAATGTTGTAAGTCTGTGGTACATTGCAATCAGTACACATCATTCATTGTCTCACAGCTTCATTAAGTTTCATGCACAATAAAGCACTGTACACAGGTTTTTCCTCCACTGTTTCTATGCGGAATATGGCTCGTTGGCTTAAGCACTCAACTTTCAGCCAATACGTCATGGGTTCGAATCTTGCCCCACCTACTTATGCCTGTTTAACTGGCATAGTATCATCATCAGCACTCACACGATAACTTTTGATCATAGTCTGAAACATATGAAACACTTGTTCTGGAAATTGAGTTCAAACAACTGAAGAAGCACCATGTGAAACGATACATCCAATCAGTCATGTGTTGAGAGGATTAATCGCATTAAGTGTTAAATTATCCCTTAGCCCTATTTCTGTTTAATTTCATCATAGATATTGTACTAATGCACTTTAACCCTATCTGACTTCAGTGACTCAGGGATTGACTTGTTACTACCACGGAATAGTCTCGTTGACTTAGGATATCAAGATGATATAGTCCTCCCACCTGGATCAAGACGATGACAAAATAGAGCAGAGTCTTTTGAACGCCTTGAGTTTGAGCAGCAATCTTCGAATGTTTGGCATGCGAGTGATTCGCTCCTACTGCTGTCAAATGTAAGATGATGTTACAGGACTCGACTCGACTGGACTGCACTGTACTGGACTACGTCGACTACTCCTAGCTTAAAGATAGTCAGGCAGGAGTGAAGTGGTGGCTGACTGGCCTGCTGGCTGAGCGTGTTGATCTAACCACTTCACTTACTCGGGAAGTTGCATCAGCCAACGCCACCGGGTTGATCTGATGGCTAACGAAATCTCAGCACGGATACGCATACAGAAGGCTCGTTTGTCATTTTTCAGCCAACTCAACTTACTAATTGCGAAATATGCCCATTAGTTCACAAGGAAAAACACAGTTTTTTTGTTCAGCGAAGAATTACAGTTTCTTCACAACGACTTCATTTCAAAGCTGTACAGTCGGATTTATATTACAGAAAAGGCATTAAGTGGCACTAGAAATTGCTCAGTGGTCAATATTGCACATGAGATAAGAATAAAGATAATTAAAATGATGTCCTCAGCGTGAGGGGTCGCGGTAGAGTTGAAATGGATGAATTACAAAACTTTTAATGATTATTAAATAAGTAAACTGGTATAAAGATTTTAAACTAGTAGGTAAAGTGTTGTCTAACAAATTCAGAGTACAATGATGATAACAATAAAGACGGCAAAAATGAAGTGAAGTAGAATGATGAATTCAAGTAGCAAAATAGAATAGAATAAAATAAAAGAACATTACTATGACCAAGGCAAAGAAAGAAATTTCACAAAACGTTTTTGAATACATAATTTAGATTTCTGTCCATGTATAGCTAGAGCTTCGGCTATGCACAAGTGAAGAAAATGTAAGCTTTCGGAGTGATTAGACTTTGGTTCTGTAGATAACTTTAAAGGATAAATCACGCCAGCTTATCTAAGTCATATTTACAAAGGATGAATGTATCATCCGAATTATATATGCGCAAACCAAGTTCACTTTTAACAGTTTGGAAAAAAATTTGGTCATTGGGTATATGATGTATTCATTATTATAAAAGTTCTTTTTTGTATTTCCCAGTGAATGAAAAACAAAACGATATTGCCGTCTAATGCCTCTAACAGCTTTATCAAAGTAGTAATATTAAACCATAAGGATTTACGAAATCCACTCAGCTTACATTATGTAATAACTTAATCATCGTTCATCAGCATAGTGGGTAATTCCTTTCACGTTGTCAAGCTGGCCATTTGGTAAAGAACACAAAACCAAGTGTAGATTGTTGGATTTGATGAGCATATAAAATTATACAAAAACAGCATTTGTTTATGTAATGAAAACAGACTATCACATTCGCGTTGATTTTGTTGTTTTATGCAAGAAACCGGGAGTGTTGTGGTGTAACCAGGTAAAATTGTCTTTTAGTCCATCATTCCTGTTCAGTTCAGACAATTTGGATTCCGTTTGATATGAAATGCCTCTGGTGATTTGTGTTTTCTGAAGCTATTTCTGATTGATGATTTCAAGAATGTCAAAATCAATTTTGTGACCTGACTCTGTAGTGTAGCGTGTCGTGTAGACGACCTAAGGTTGATGAACTTTAAAGTTTTTATAGCTAGCCAGTTCAACTGGATTTATTTCTCGGTGGTCGAACAGATGCTCTACGGTGTTCATTTCTTCTGACTACCTTGATTTCTCTCTAGTGATGTTTGTCCGGTATATATTATCCCATCACATTCCAAGCATTTTATTTTGTAGACACAATTAGATTGAGAATGTTTAGGGATTTGATCTTTTACATGGACAAGGTTGCTTTGTAGTCCGTGTGTGTGCGTGTCTGATGTTGTGTTTATTTGAGTACTCTTCTGATTTCGTCTGACGTTTCTGATATACATGAAATGATAACTGTTAACGTCCATCCATGTCTTCAAAATACGTTTTCCACCATATTTAATGTTGGTGTTGATTTTGTGAATGTGAAATTCTTTGGGCAGTTATTTTTCTTGAGAGTCTCAGTAATGTTTGATATTTCTTTGTCTTCTTTTACCTTCTCATCCGTTAATATCACAAAGAGTGTGCTCATCTAAGAAGACTTGAAACAACTGATGCCTTTGTACTGATCCGAAGTCTAAAATATTTGCTGTAGTGTGTTTCCATCCTGAGTGAATGTAGATATATATTAAAATATCCGGTCTCCCTCTTCTTAACTAGCCAGCCAGTGTGGGAATAGTAGGCCACCGAAGTCTGATTCTATCTGCTTCGGAAGTAAACTGGATGTTGGGACATAGACTGTATGTACAGTCTCGCCAAGAATGAATTGTGTAGATGACGTTTTAGCACAACAAAGGTATCCTCAACGTTACTGAGCCATATTTTAGGTGTGAATGTGCTTGAAAAGATGTTATCATCAAGTCTATTCACGAAAAGATCAGTGACTACTGGGGAAACTGGTGGATCCATAGCAATACCATGTATATGTCAGTCTATATAAATTCCCTTTGAATGTGAAATAATTACTTTTCAGACAGAGTTTCAAGCTCTTTATTATTTCACCGGTGTGTCCAGTAGACATCTTTGTATTAGGGTTTGTGTCTGATTCTAGTAAACTGAAAATGATATCAAGATTTTCGGTAGTGAGAATACTAGTATATACTGAGTTAAGATCATAGCTTACCATAATGAACGATGAGTAAGTTGTTATATATGTAACTGACTGACTGGTTTCAACATAGAACTTTGCACAGATGTGCAGCAGTCCGAGTCGACACACTTCCCTTAGCACATAAAGCAAGAGAAGAAAGTAAAAGTAAATACAAAACAGAGACAGTGAACAGAAATATGAGACAAAAAGAATAGTAATATCGAAGAGGAATATAGTTGCATTGGATATTATAAGTCACAAGGAGTGGATGCATCTGTGCCATCCGTTGAGAACGATCACTTTGAGCCAGCCATATCACGAATTGTCTCCAGCCGTGATTGGTTTTTACCGTCATCCCGAGGACCCCAACCAGTTAGGAAGTCTACACCTTCCTACGTGGCTGTCTGGCTTAAACTAACTGTTGTGGATTTCATTGACTGATGAAGCCATGTGTTGGTTTGATCACCACTGGCTAACTCTTTTCCAACCTGATCCTATGTCAGCTAACATTGCCCACTGTTGAGGAAGGCGATGGCTAGTCATGAATACCTAACACATGTCCTAACCATTTCAATCGATGTAACCGCTTCACAGCCTCGTCAATAGATTGATTTCCCCTCCCACCTACCTAGCACTCGACTGACGCCTAACCTCAATATTGCTCACCCTATTATACCATTTCACACGAGAAATGTGACGCGGGCAGCTATGATCG